CGGCAGCGATTAACGGTCAAGGAAAACAAAAGTGTGATTTGAGTTATGAGGGTCCTTGGCCCCAGTACAGATGTGTCTAGCAATGCCCCTGCTACTTCCTCACATTACTGGGAAAACACTGTATTGTACTTTTACATATTTGATAGATGTAGTTATCTTAAATTCAACAAATTATGTATTGCTTACAAAATATCAATAGTACCCAAACTGAAAAACGTAAACAGGAGTGATTCCTCTGCCTAATGTGTACTCAGTGGTGGAACTACTCAAATTGTTTACTTAAGTAAAAGTACCAAAGTATTAGCATCAAAATATACTTAAAGTACTCTATGTACAGTGGCACAGTTCACATTATTGGATTATAATTAGTGTACATCACATTTAATATTGCAACTCATAAAGGTGGAGCTACTGTTAACTGCCATATATAATTATAATTTAAGTACTTTATATATTGCAGGATCAATAAATACTGTGCTTTGTATCATTAATTTCATTCTAAAAAGTAACTAGAAATGAAAGTTTCAAATAAATGGGAGTATAAAGTACATACGTATTTTTCATTGAAATATACCAAAGTATGAAGTAGCAGAAAATGGAAATGCTCAAGTACAGATACCTCAAAACTGTACATAAGTACAGTACTTGAGTAAATGTACTTACTTGCCACCTTTTTATGTACTTTGCTTTATATTTTGCTGCTAACAAATGTACAGTTGATTTCCTTAAATACAGTAAATCATAAATGCAGGATATTTACTTGCAATGGAGTATTTTTACATTGAGGTACTACTGTCCTCCACTGTAGGACATGCTCTCTTAGTCTGCTAGGACTGTTTGTGACCCCTATTGTGAAGCACTGTAGGGGAAATGTACTTTGTTCTTTTCTTAGATAAGTGTAGCCTTAATTACAATCATTCTGATTAAAAAAAAAACATAACCAGTTATACAAGTTAGTCTTTCTTTTTATGTTCATAAAACACAAATATAGAAAAGGATAACGCCTCCTTTTGCAGGCTGAAGTGATACTCTTAGTGCTGCTTACAGGCTTGGTTACTGGTCCTCCAGGTGAGAACTAGTAACCCAGTCATTTTAATCTGCCAGTTAACAGTCTCAGCCAGCAGTGCCATATGCAGGAACGTCCCTAAGTGGCATCTTCACTCCTGACTGTGAAATGTTGCCCTGACTGGACAAGTGACACCTGCGTCGATGCTTTGTTGCCTTGCTGTCACTAATGTAAAAACTATGGAGTGGCAGAAAGATAAAAACCAGGTGAAAGAGGGTGTTCTGGAAAGAGAGTTGCTTGGTTATACATCTGTGAAACATCGGGGAATCTGAGTCTTTGTTCTTTTAGTTGTAGACATTAATGAAGCAAACCTTTGTTCACTTCACCAAGACTTTTCTTGGCTGATCATTCAGTCACCTCTTCTTTTTTTCTCCTCCCTATATCAGTCTGAGTGCTCTGTTGAGGCCTCTTTGCAACAACAAGGAGGAATGAAGTGCCAGGAACTTTAGACTAAATACTAATGCTGACATTGTGACTAGTGGTGGACTGCCTGTCAGTGAGGAGCATTAGTTAGGCCTCAGGTTTAAACCGATGCTGGACAGGATTAATACTCCCACAGGGCCGAGCTGCTCAGACTGAGTCCGTCTCCCTTCAGTGTGCCTCCCTGGTCTCCACGCAGGTATTTGCCATTCTTGGCACGGATGGCAAGCCGGCCATGCTCCAGGAGCTCCAGAGAGAAATCCTCAGGGACGTCACCATCTGAGCACACCAGCCCAGCATTGTTCACATACCAAAACCGGCCATCCACACCTACAGGATTTAAAGAAAATGCATGAACTCAAAGTATATATCTGCTGGTGATGATAACTTGTAGAGTAAAAAGATAAGCAAATGAAAGAAGAGGAGCAGTGAACTAATGTCTTGCCATTTCCAGAGATTGTATCCTGACCTTTAATATGGTAGGCCCCATTACCGAATTCCAGGGTGAAAATGTCATAGATGGATCTGCTGGCATCCAATGTGTTGGAGTTCCTGTGGTGGCAGATAAAGCCGTTCGACCCCCTCAGAATCAGCATAGGTCGGTTGATCAGTTTCAGAGTGAGCTGCTCATCTTCACCTGAGAAAATGTGAGTAAAATAATGAAAATACATCACAAGGATCATAAGAAATTTAGAAGCAGTGTCAAAACGGAGGATGAACATCAATGGATGGATGAGTGAGTCCTTACCTACAGAATCACTGACTGCTAGTATCTGACCATTCTTCTTGGTGCAGATGTATTTTCCATTGTTAGCTTTTAGTGCCGCCTTCTGGCCAAGCCATTCCACTGCAAACATGGTATTTGCTGACCTGCAGTTGGGCAGGAGTAGAGAGAAGATGAAACTTTCCTACTCTGAGTGCAAATGCAAGTCTAAACAAAGAAAAGCAAGCGAACTGAAATCCTGGAGTTGCTATAAGATTTGATTACCAAGAATTTAGGGAGTTGAGCGAAGTCAAATCAGTGACTCTACCGTATTCTCATATTTACAGTCTTGACTTGCATTTATAATTTCACATTTTCCTGTGACAGTGTAGCATTGGTCATTAAATAAATAACTGGTGATGATGATGATGACATTTTCAATCTGCACAACTGATGTAAGAGCATTCGCTCACACTTCAGTGGCTGTACTGTCAATGCTTCCGTGGGCCACCAGGGCCCAGTAGTTCCCTTGGCTGGTGCGGAACGTGCATTTCCTGGTTTCCTTGTCAATCTCCATCTGAAATGTCTCCGTGTCTGTCTCATCTTCCTGATTGGCTGCAAGGCTGACTCCTGGTGGGACATAGTAGGTAGATCCGGTCATTGCAGTAATGTTTTTGGATGACAACCTGAGGTCTGGTTAGTGTTTGGAGAAATCCATTTACCAGTTGTTGTCCACTAAATTACACTACTTTCCTTTTCAGTTATTTATCAATGGCGCTGCCGTCTTAAGTTATAACATTGACATATACACAGATACGTGGCAGGTGAGGTAGTATTATGTAAACAATGAAATTAATACATCATCAAAACAGTCACAAAGCCCATGAAATCTTGGTTTCAAAAAACGAAAGTATGTTTCCTTACAGTAATACTCATAATAACCAAAGCTGTTCATTTGTGACCTTGTCACTCACAGTGAGAAGCTGATTACAGTATGGCTGTTGGGGTTTCAGGGCATTAAAATGATTTGTACAAGAAAAAAAGTTACTACATAAGGCTGGCTACAAATAGGTTTACAGTAACTTTCAAAGAAACATCTGCACCTATAAACTTTTGAGATGTCAGTTGTTGCCAAACAGGTCCCTCTACAGACCTCTTTTATTACTGCCTGGATTCCCGCTGGCCAATCAAAAACCCGCAGACATAGCAGCAAGCTCATCAGGTTGGTCTGTCATGTTTAGCTTGGCCCAGCATGAAACGGTTGGTAATCACGTCTGATCCTATGTTAGGTTGTTTTTAAGTAGTTCTGTCTTAAACTGTGCCCTTGATCTGACTTGGCAAGCAAGCGGCCTGAGGGGAAATACATTTTTTCTGACTGGGCTTCTGGAAGCAGTTATGGATAGAATATACAGTAGATCAAATAAATACACTTAATGTAGCTGTGCAGGAAAATGTAACAAAGACAAATGCGTAAAATGTCTGTTTCTCACCATAATATGTGTCAGCTTTACAGAGATGAAGCTCTGCAATGTCACTGAGTCTATTACAGTAACAACCAAACAAAAACCACACATTTGAAATACATTTTATTGAAACCACTTAAAAACCAATTATTTTAGCATTTTCATTGCTAATGGATTAAACAGAATTGCTGTCAAACACAGTGACGGTGACATGCCTCCCTCTGTGCTGTGTTGGATGCATTGGCATAGATAGATGATGCAAAAATATAAAATAAACAGTACAAAATTAACAGTCCACTTTTTGTCCAACTACTTTCATTATCATATGTTAACAGTAAAGCAAACTGTCACACCACCAACAGATTACAGAGGACTCGATCCTAATATAGATGCATTCCAGAATATACCCAACATATTTAATCCTTTAACAATGCTGATTTGTGTGCCTTGCTCCCCCTACTCTCTTCTCTGGCCATCCTTCTCTACCTTCTTCCCTTCCCCCATGTCTCCCTCTGTACCCCTGACCCCCTGCACCCCCACCTCCAGCCCTGCCTATGGGCCCCTCTTCACAGTGGGGCTCTGATATAATCAGCTTTCAAGTGCTATCCATCCAATCCTTCAACCCCCTCAATAAAAGAATCAAGGCAAAACAGGAAAAAAGATGAGGATTTTATGGTCCACACTTAGTAGGATGTACAGATAATTACCAACCCCTTGTGACCCTCGAGTTAACAGAGCCATGGATAATTAAAGATGGGGAAAACATGCTAAAAAATATAAACTGTATCGGCATTGACTGGTTTATATACATCTTAAAGGACCCAAAGTAAGCTATGCTCATGTATAAACGACCAAACTAACTGACCACAGTGCCTCCAATACTGGTTTAGCAGAAAGTAAAACCTCAGTGAATATCAGTCTGCAGGTGGGTTGTAAGATTTAGAAAAATGTGTCACCTGAAACTTAAAAATTTGAAGTTGTAGCATCAAATCACAACAAAAGTCATCTCAGGACACTTTACAAAGTAAGGTCTAGACCTTACTATTGTCACCTATTATTAAACCCCAACAAATCCCCCTTGAGCAAGCACTTGGCAACAGTGGGGAAGAAAAACTCCTTTTAACGGAAGAAACCTCCGACAGACGCCGGCAGGGGTGACAAAGAGCAATACAACCATGATAAATGTGAGGGAATAAGTCTAACAGAGCCTAGCCACATTGGCAGCTCTGTGATGCTAGAAATAGTGGTACTTTTAACTAATATAAGCATTCTAACATGCCCACAACAACAGTTCTAACATTTGGACTTTTAGTAGGTATAATGTGAACCATGTTCAGCTAATCTTAGCTTAGAATACTAGCATGCTAATATTTGCTAATTAACACAGAGGCTGATTGCTAAACCAATTAGGTGTGGCTTGATCATACACCAGGAATGTCTGTACAGAATGTCTGGGCAATCAATCCACTCATTTGTTAGACATTTGAGTCAGCACCAACTCATTAAATCGACGGACCAACAACACGGTGCTGCTGACATGTCTAAAAGCAACAACAAACAATGATATTGTATGCATGTTGTAAGTGAGGTCTGCCCAGGTTCTCCTTGTATGTTCTTTGCATAAGACAAGTACTGAACCTGAACTATAATGCACTCCATTAAGAGGTTTACGACTATCTATGAATGCATGTAGATCTATCAGCTTAATTCAACACAAATGTACATGCAAATATCAGTCTGAGGGGCCTGGTGAAATGAATGGATATGAGTTTTATAGCTGGTTATCTGTTTTAAAATTTTTTGGGGGTACTTCAGTTTGATATCTGGCCAGTAACTGAAGGAGAGAGAAAGGGGATGGCATGTGACAAAGATGTCATGGTTACTGAGCTACTGGGACACTTTAATCCCATCTTATTCACACCTGATAAAGTAGGTATCGTGAGATCTTACAGCTGGTTAAATTATCATTGATCTCAAGTGCATTTGAAGCATACATTTCTGTTCCTCCACTGTGCACCTATGCCTGGGGGCCCATCACTGTCCTTCTCTCATCCTGACTTAATGTCATGCTTTGTCTACCTATTCCATGTGTCCATTTCACACTAATTCAACCCAGAAATGATCCTCAGACAAGGCTCAGCTGGGACCTCACAGCTGCAGTCTGATAGATGAAAGAAGAGGATACAGGGGAAGGAGAGAAGGATGGAGGAAGAGGAATAGAGAGAAATGGAGAGCAGGGGACAAAGAGATTGGATACATTGAAATCCAATCCAGCAATCTGAGGATATCAATATCTATCTTGATGACCGGCTTTGACACACCAGTTGGCCAAAGCATGTGAAATAAGATGTCATCATAGTCCAGATCACTGAGAAACTACGCAGAAAAGCATAGCACACTCCCTGGCGGATGTGTGCCACATTTTGGATCATACCTCAGATCCAGTTCCACTTTCTGGTGTTGTCCTACCTGCAGCCTGCAAGTGGAGCAGGACTAGCTAATCCATCAGCGATAGATGGCTCTGACATTTATTATTAATGGTAAGCTGATGCTACTATCCCCCTGTCCCTTCTTTTCCGCTTTCTCCCAAACCTTCCTCCTTAACAACTGCATTTTCTCTTGTTTTTTATTTTATTTTAGTCCTTTCATTTGTTTTTCTCTTATGAGTTCCTGGGTTGTGTGTGAGCATCTGTGCATAGATGCATATTCATGTGTGGAAAGTATGTGTCTTTGGACTGTCATCTCATGTCATTTTCAGGGCAGAATGCATCGCTTAGGCCTGAAGAACACAGGGAGGTGATGTGAGACACAATGACAGCTATATGAGACATGTTACAGCAACACAAACACACTTTCATTAAAAAGAACAACTCCGGTTGGATAGAAGATACAGAATCGCACTGCATTGTAACTCTTTTACACTTGTACGTCTATCCAAACTAGGACCCTTTTATTACAAATCTGTGTGCTACATGTGTGCTCACCTTAAAACGGACAACAGGACTCTTCTGCGCTAAATAGAACATAAACAAATGTGCAATTTATGGGTAAAGGCAAAAGAAATTATGATGGATGAAAAGTCAGCCTCTGTCACACACATAATCTTATTGTCCTTTGAGAGTCCATCGACACTTGTATCCCTCCCCTTTTGCTGCTTTTCATTCTCTTCTTCTACTGCTTTAATCATAATGCCAGATCCAGAGGTAGAAAGTAACAAAGTATATTTAAACAGGTGCCGAACAGCTTTGAGGTACTGGCACTTAAGACCTTTACCACTTCAGCAGGTAACATAATTAAAATTTGCTAGAAAATTGGAAAACCAGGGTAGGTCAGCTATGGCCATTTAACAAGCTTGTCCACTGGTAAGAAAGGTCAGTTATTGGTGAACTGGTGTTACATGTCGAAGTAGCTTCACTGTGTGAAGAAAAAGAAGAGGCTGATCTGAGTTCTTCAAAACCTACAAAAAAAGATCTAATTTTGCACCTTAATGTGACCATGTTGCAGTTTCATATGTTGCTAAAAATGCTGACTCTTTGATATTGTGTTTCCTACAGAAGTACGCACTGACTGGAGCCAAGTTTAGCTGGTTAGATTAGCAGCTTGGAGCACAAGCTGTGGCCCCAGGTGAGAGGGATCTTGGGTTTCTGAAAGCAGACTCCCCCTTGAGTTCCAGAAACAGGGGCCAATTTCATCAATAATTCAACACATCTCACTGCCCGCTGCAGAAGGACGACGTGGTTTAGTGTGGGTGAGTGTGTCAAAGAAATATAAAGTGTTTGTGCAGAACGTGCACAAACAGAAAAAAAGAGTCGGCAACACACAGGCTGACAGAAAGATGTGAACATGATGCAAGTATTTCTGTGTGAATGTATGTTACATGGTTCTTTGTATACTGTATGAGTTTTTATTCCACCATGTTTCTCCCTCCCTTCGGCCAGTCGGTTTACAGGGCTCCCAGTTATTTGGTTTCTGCCTGCAGTTCCCACAGCAAAGCAAGAACAATGAGAAAGAATCAGTTACAGCACAGAGGACTGAAGTAACTTGACCATGCAGACAAGAATCTGCAGCCTGCATACCATACCGGCCAAGTGTGCGGACAAGCACTGTTAGTGTATGCTAATCCACCCCAAATCCAGTTTCAAATCAGACAAGCAAACCATTTCGACCATCAGTAACTAAACACTTGGCAAGTCCTTTCAGAGCAATAGTGAGTGTCAGGCTACATCCAACTAAGATGTAGCCTGACACTCACTATTGCAATTTATTTTTTTACACTGATCAAATTCAACCTTGTTTCTGAGAAGAAATAACTTTGAAGCCAGTGTGGAGCAGGTATAATCCATCAGTATAGTAGTGTGGCGTCATGCTTTCGTGCTGATCAAATAACACTCTCCGGCAGCTCTGACACAAGACTGAATAGTAAATACATACTACAGTATCAACAGAGCATTACAGTACAGCATATAGGTTACAAGCAACTGTTTCAGAAAGCCCCTTCAGTTAGGGGTAAAAGCATAATATTACCAACATTACCCAACAAAGCCTGGAGGTATATCTGAAAGGGGGATTTTCAAAAAGATCACAATTTATGATTATTAGGTAAAAGAAAAGGAAAGCAATGTCTTACTTTTTCTAATGCATTTGACAGGGTTTGCACCATTTCCTTCAATGGCAACATTTATTTAAGCACACTATTAAAACTTATTCATTGCAAATTGTATGCAGATATATTTCTAACAACATGGGTGCATGGAAAATCTGTCATCTGACCAAATCACCCACTGGCATAAGACTGTCCTAAATCCACTGCCAAACAAATTGCGTAATCGTCTCAGGTCTTGCAGATGAGGCTGATAGTCTCCCATATCAGCCTCATCTATTTTGTTTTCCAGGAAAGATGCAACTATCCAGTGTGATGTTGATGCATGTTGATGCGCAGACTACATTACTCAGAATTACCATGCATTCCTTATCAGCTGTCAGTCATTAGAGAGTGGCCTATTCTCTTAACCATGCATATTCAGCATGTCCAGACGTTAATGTGCTTCTGTGAATTGCAAGCTCAGCTTTCTGAAGACGTATCAGGGCACAGTATACACTGTATATTGACCGGTAGTAGTAACTGTAGTAGTATTTGTTACTTCATTATGTACTGTGTGTGTCAGCTAAAGGCTCAAGTGACCATCCTTTGTAGTACATAAGGTCAATCTTTGTCCACTGAATCAGACCTTGAGATTCTGTGCAAGGCTTTAGGGAATCAAAAAAGCTGGAAGAGGTGTAGCTTGTGCGTGGATGCAAGGCTTCGGTGCAAGATACAGGGATTTGTGAATATATCATTTCCTGCCAATGTATCTGTTTTTCCTACCTGTTCTTATGGAGACATATCGCCCATTGGCTGCGATCAGAACCACTTGTGGGTGACTCTCCTCTAGGTCAAAAAGTTCATCTTTGCCAGGCTTGGAGCAACGTCCAGACCTCAGGGTGCCTGTAGGTCCCATGGGTGACAAGTACTTTCCCTCACAGTCTTTAAAGGCCAGCTTCCCACACTTCAGCTCCAGCGTGTATGCTGTGGTCCTCCCACTTTGAGTTAAGAGCTTCCCATCATTGCTGAGGAAGCGGCTGTCACAGGTCTTTAGGCAGTACTTCCCATCCAGGTAGGTGAGAGTCAGGAGTGCTGCCACGCCCCAAGGAATGTTCAGATCCATGGTGATCTCCCCATCCTCGATGGAGAGACGGGCGTAACGCTTACGGGCCACAGACAGCATGTTGGCCTGTGGATGTAGAGCCAGGTGCAATGCCCACAGCTCGGCATCTGTGATTACCTGGGCAAAGCAGGACAGGTAGTCCCGAGAGCCGCCAAAGAAACGGAGGTGCTGCTCAGACTGTAGGGCCCAGCGGCCATCTGATTGAGCCACAATGACGAAGCGGCAGTCTGAGTTGTGCCCATCAGCCTCACAGGTGACCTTGCCATCCTTGTCAGAGGCCAAGTAACGTCCTAGGTGGCTGCGCAAGTAGATTACCTGGGTGTCTTGGGAGTCCTGCTCTAGAGTCCATATCTGCTTCTTCTTTAAGCTGGGAGCTGATGCATTCACCTGAGAAACACAAATCACTGAGTCTGCTTAAGGGAGGGTGGCCCTAAACACTCCAATAACACCAAATATCATGAAATTTCATTTCATACTGTCTGTACCTTGAAACCAAAGGCCTCAGCAGTGAGGTAGCGGCCCTCGTGGTTAATTAGACCAAACTGCAACTTTAGAGGATGACTCCCGTTAGCAGGCATCTTCACCTGCACAGAGAGAGCAAGGGAACAAGTTAGCTGAGAGGGGAGGAGTGGGAAAGGGAAAAAAGAGGGTAAAACAGACATGCAGAAATGAGGGGTATGCTTAAAAAATGTGTGATAAGACATAAGGCATATGGAAGCAGGTGATGTCATGGTGAATGATGAAATGAAAATATGTTAGACAGGAAATCAATTCATTAAGAAACAGCATATAAAGCACTCCCCTGACCACAAATTATTTCCCTTGCCCAAGGCTTCATTATACATTTTTCCAGCCACAGCTTCCTAATTTACTTACTGCGGTTTTGTGGCTTCCCCTCTGCAGTTTCTGTGGCTCTAATTCCAGTTCCCAGATTTAAGAGGCTGCTTTCACCAAGTGTCCCCTTGTAATTCTTTCCCTTTTTCTTCCCCTCTTGCCGGCTCTCACGTTTTGTTGATCACTCTTCAGTCAACTTCTCTGTCTCAGTACACTCATTTTGTTCTCAAATGCTTATCTCCACTTCTGCAGCTGACCCTCTCCTCCTCTCTCCCTCTCTCTGTCACTCTCTCTCTCCTGTTGAGCAGTGCTTTCTTGTCCAGTCTCACTCCTCTTCTTGCTTGACTTGTTATTCACCCTGAAGTCTCAGCCACTTGGTCCCCCCTGACTAGACTTCCCTGGGGTTTTGTTTTTGCCCCTTCATTGCCTGCTATCTTTGGATCACACCAAATACAGTGACCTCCTTTTTCACCTATCTTGAAGTCCAGGTTCCTCGTTTGTCAGACACAGGTTTGATCAGTGAAGAAGAACATCCTCAGTGATCCTGCAAATTTTATGGTAGCAGACTGAAGGACTCCTCCACTCCTTCCCATCACAACTGCACTCAGCAACAAAGGGGGCTTGCTGCTGTAATCTTAAGCCCCTCTCTGATGCTTTTCCTCCCATCCTCTCATTTTCTCCCACTGCCTTTCTCTAACCTGCCATGTGTATAATCCCGCCTTTCTCTGCCTCTGCGCTTTATTTTGAGCTCTGCACTTCACCTCTTTCTGTGACACACAAAGACAGGTAACGCACACATATACACACAGAGGCGGGTAACTAGAGCACTCCCTGTGCCTTTGGGGTAGTTGCCTGAGTGCAGCTCTCCTTACCTGCCTATGCTGGGGGTTTGGTTACACACCTTCTCCTATTGCAAGCTTTCAAGGTCAGTCCTAATGGGAAATGGTTCTGTGAGGCCAAGGGAGTCCGAATTTGGGAAACAAGTAAAGGGTCAGGGGATGACAGGTGTTGTAAAGGCAACAATAACAAGCCAATCAACATATGGGGGCTTGAATGATTGTGTGTGAGCACCAAGTTGGTTGGTGTGTGTGTGTGTGTGTGTGTGTGTGTGTGTGTGTGTGTGTGAGTGATAAACTTTGCCAATCAGCATATTACAAGTCTTCTTTTCATAGTAAACAGTGGAGTCTGTTCCTGAATCCATGTAATCCTCAACCCAATCATCCCAACCCGGCTAATCTACCAGCACTGCACCCCTCCCTGCTCGTCCAGTGTGAGCACACACCAACACTCCCCCTTCATAGACTCACTAATCCACACCAACATGCATGTCATCACACACACACAGGTCAGTAGAAGGTCTCAGGGTTGATGGTAAACACCACCCACCCAACGATTTACTCCTCCTGACCCAGACTTGAACTGCGCTTTACGCAATATGTGATAAACAGTGTGTGTCACACACACTTTGCACATGCACAAACACAAATAGTGAAAAACATGAGTGATGTGGGCCCCTTCATCAGTAACACTAAGCAGACAGACATCCCACATTTCTGAAATGCTGACTTGAGATCAGCTTTTCTAGTTCCACTCTGAAACTTTTCTCGAATACAGCTTTGTTTTAAAGGCATCTCCAGCCATTTTCATGGACGCGCCTATTGAATGTATCATGTCAAAAACGTAGCTTTTTGCAGTCAGAAAAATGACACAAAGAGTCTGGTTTGACAAAGTCATATATTCAGTTTTTATCCTTGGTACTGACACTTCACAATCTCCTGCAGGGGACAAAACCTATGGCGGGATCACTTTGTTTTAGTTACACCAATAATCATTCTTATTTATTTGCTTCATATTTGGCATAATTTCTTTAAACAACTCATAAGTTATGGTTTTCATTCCAAATGTGAAATCTGGAGATGAGTCAACTGTTCCACTGACTATGAAAATTAGGAGGCTAATAACATTAAATACATTTAATGACTATAGCAGATATGATGAAAACATTAAGAGAATAACTTTATGTAGATGATGATGTGTGTATGTCATATTTTTAGTAGCCTAAAGGTCAAATGATAATTTAAAGTGTAATTAAAATGTTCACCAGTTAGTGATAAACTTCTTCAACACCATTGTTGCAAACATTTGCTAGCTGTTTTAAATCTAAATTAAAACATTTAATCACACTTTTATCTAATTGAATACCACTCTGATACTATTTTGCTCTGGTAACTGTTATATTACATTTACATAGCAATTAGTACAATATCAGCATTGATAAATCAGATTAAGGATTAGCCAGTATCTTAAAAATGAGGACAGCTATATTATGTTCATTAACTGCTGGAAGATAAATAAAGACAAAACAACTTGCCCTTAAAAAAAGATGAGAGAAAGCAACCACCTACATTTGACTTACTTCTTCCACAAATACTACACAGGGCTTAACCTACAGAGAGCATCTCATTTGTGCAGACACATGGTCCAGCACCAAGTCCCAACAGCCCAGTGTGAATTCACTTCCAGAACTGAAGAGTTTCAGATTTTCTGTCAACATGTACAAGTGAATTGATTTGACATCTGCCATTCAAACTAGGATCATTAAAGGAGGACTGAAAACCGTTAGCACAGCACAATAAGATTGCAGTTTCACTCTATGAAATGTATCTGGACAAAAGCAATTGAAAAGCTCCTCTAGTGTTGTCTTATACACACTTAATGATGTGGATGAAATCACTTCACTGCAAATGTTCGCGCTGCTCCTCGACTTAGACAAGCCATCTGATCTTCTATTGATAAGAGGGGCAGAAGTGTGCAAGTGTGCATGTCTGCACAGCAGACATCTCACGTTTGCAACCACACTCTTTATCATTTTCTCTTTCTTAAATACAGCCTCAAACACACATGCACACACAGAAAGCATACTAGAAAGAGGGGGAGTAGTGGGAGACTCATTGCTCACAAATAAAAAAAAAAGTCATACACTGTTATTGTTATCAGAGCTATTATTTTCATTACTATCACTATTATCACTATTACTGTACTTCCCCCTCATATGTATCCTATCCCACGCATCATTAGCTCGCTCTCTGTGGCCCCTGGGGGCTGCGTCATCATGCCACTCACTCCTGCTGCCATCGGCACAGTGACGCCTGTCGATAGTCAACCAGATGTTTTTTTTTTCTTCTGGGATGGCGGCTGCTGTTCCTGGTTCACCGTGGCAACCGTGGGATGGTGCTTTAGAAGCCATTACAGCGCTCCTCTGATGACACTCAAATAGCTATCATTACACCTCCTCCAAGGAGACACAGATGGAAGAAGGGAAGGGGAGGGGAGGTGAGAACGGGAGGGAGAGAGATGAGGCAGGGAAGGAAGCGGGAGGGATTGGATGGGAGGAGAAAAGGGTGCTTGATAGGAGGAGAGAGGAGAGACTGAAGAAGGAGGTGAAAAGAAAGTTGAAGCTGCTGAGAGGTGAACGTGGGAGATGGAGGAAGAAGTGGCAAATTACACAGGCAGACAGGGATGGGAAAGCAAGTTAAAGATGTAGAAGGTGTATGGATGAAGGGATGAAAGCAAAGGAAGTGACTACGAAACAGGATGGGGAATTCAAAATGACCGTTTCTGAGTTAACAGCCTCCAGCCTTTTTCTACCCTATTAAGTTCTATTCTGCCATTATTTTGGACTGCAGGGTGCTGCCTCATACCCCACAGTGTCGTCCTACTCTTACAGACACCCCCTCCCTGTACACACATGCACACATAACCACAAACACAAACACATACTCTTTGTGTTCTATTTGTCCCCCTCCGCTCTCTCATCTTGATTCACTTCCAGAGGCAGGGAACTAAATGAAAGAGAGATGATCTGGATCAATCTTTGAATCCAAACTTTAAGGTTTTTTTTTTTCTCCTGTCTTTGTCTGTTTATTTCCTCTCTTTCCTGACACTTAAACACAACAAATTACGGGGAAAAAAAACACACTTTGTTTTGTAGTCTAACTTTCAGACTGTTTTGTCAGAGTTGAAAATTGTTAAAAATGTATTTTAACTTGTTTTTGACAACCTCAAGTGAAGCAATAGGGAGATATCTCTCACAGTCTGTTTTCAATATGAATACAATGTATGAATATGAATTTAAAGGGATTTTATGTGGTTTCTGCTATCATTAACACTCCACCCATCCACCCCTCTTAATCTTACTTAAACAAACCACTGGTATCCCATGACCCATTAGAGAACATCTCAGACTATTTACAAAGAGAAACTGGACATGAAGAAACAAATTAATTTGGTCATATTGTGCAGGAGAAGCAGAACACACCAACTGTGTAAAAAACTAAAGGCACTTCACGACTGACATCCTGTAAATATTTATAGGCCTATTACATCTCTAAGTAAAAAATGCGACTACGATGTTAGGAAATCTAATACAAAAATTAACCACTTAGTCGCTGTTTTCTACACTTTTACTTGTGAAAGTTGCGTCCTCACATGCATGTTGATGTGCTACGCCCCATACTCGCACTTGTAATTCCCATAAACACCACTGAGGGGCGGTATCAGCCTTTCGCTTTAACTCCATGGGAACCTATATCATTTTTGGAGATAAAAAAAAAAGAGGGAGAAGATTGATGCTTGGTTTGCTGATGTTGGTTCCTGTGTGACTGCACAGCGTAGGAGGGAAGGACTTTGGTGCTATTTAAAATGGATGCTTTTAATGTATTTTGTTTTGTTTTTTTTGGGGGTGCTATCGCAGAAACTGCAAGACGTCAACAACACGTGAAGCGTTATCCACAGTCTAAACACAACGAGTGGGTCGGAGTAGAATATTCCCTCTATTTCAATCATTTGCTGTGGCTGTACAGTGCTCAGGTCTGTTTCTCTGACATGTATGCAGGCAAAACAGGAGCAGGTTTAACCCACAATTTTAGATCCTGAATGTGTGAATGTGGGTTATACTTCACTGCTAAACATGCATTCGTCATGTGCTTTTAATCTCTTGGTTTTCTTGCATGATGATTTGATTATGATTAAGGCAACACACACACACACACACACACACACACACGCTTAAAAGGCTGCAGCGCAGCCTGGTCGCCTCATGTGCTACAGCAGGCTACAGTATATTTTCTTTAAATGCGTCTGAAACGAGGCTTTGAAACAGTCCGGATTAACTGATGTATCGCGTTTCTAAAAACAAACCGCCTCTGAATCATTCATTAATTCACATTTGGCTATTACAGTGCGGGTTAGTGTTTTATGGGTCGCTCCTCTCTGTGTGGTAGGAAAGAGTTAATAACAATGGGCAAAGCGTGATGAGTGAGGGGGCTTTGTGAAAAACAGAGAGCCAATCTGCGTCAAGATTAACACCTAACGCGGCCGTGATTGGCCTATAGTCGGCTCTCTGTCGTTTGGATCTCAACACCCACGTGGGGGTTCTGACTTCCATTCGAACTCTCATTGGCTGAGGCCTCACCATTAAGACCCGCCCTTGGAATATCTCGCTTTGTTATTGGCAAAGATGTCGCTATTAACTCCTCCCCTTTCCTCTCCGCCCCTCCCAACCTTGTTTTTCCATCCGAGAGGAAAGGAAACATCCCTCTCGCGAGCTCCGTGGGCTCGCGTGGGCAGCCGCGGCGCCACAACCGCTGCCGTAGCCGTCACTTCATGACTATCAGTAGGCGCGCGAACTCAGAGGTGACAGTTCTCACCAATCCACTTCACGGTTCGAAAGTACGCAAAAAACACGATTAGTGGACGTAATGTCTAACTCAGTGTCCACGTCTGTGGACAGGAGCTTCCCGTTATTTCATTTTATTGCCAATTTCCCGGAGACGTTTGCGCGGCTTGAGTCTCTGTTTCTTCATTTCCTCTAAGCCGCTTCGCTCTCCTACAGGGCACACACACACACGCACTTATGTGCTTCTTGCAGTGACAGGAGCTTTAATGAATTAATTATTTTAATAGCCTAAAGATTAACAGGCAAGACGCCTAATCCGATTTTGTGTGTGAGAGTAGCCTCTGACTCTATCTATCTATCTATCTATCTATCTATCTATCTATCTATCTATCTATCTATCTATCTATCTATCTATCTATCTATCTGTCTGTCTGTCTGTCTGTCTGTCTCTCTACTAAAAACACTAAGAAACATTAAATTTACTGTGGCAGTTTAGAAGGAAATTGTAACAAATTGTAAAATCTGAGCCCGTTTAACAGAGAGAGGCACATGGATGAGATGAAGTGATGTAACAAACTCCGAGTTAATCTCAGTCTACTAAACTGTGGTTTAAATAGAAAAGAGATGTAAGAACATGAAAGCTAACTCCATGTACTGTAAGGAATACTGACACTTTGCTTAGTGGTCTTATACAACACATTGTTTATAGTATTATCACACATACTTACCTTTCAGTAGGCTATGCTTTTGCAGGAGCCCTTATTGTATTTATTTCTGCCTATAGCTGCACAGGTTAATGGCCTCTCATGGTTTAATAAGGGACAAAAATAAGTATGCAGGATTTGCAGTAGATGCACGCCATGGTTCATTTTTTAGCAGTAACATCCTTTGATACAATTTAATAGATCTTGGTTATTAAATGCATTTTTCTAGTGCATCATTTACTTTTTCCCTTATCAAACTCTGAGTATGTTGGACAACGGAAGCAATTAGGTGCAATCGGCACAAAAAAAAAATAAAACAATAAAAAAAAAGCAAAAAACAGTGAGTGTATCAAAACGAGGCAAACGAGGGCAAGATACCTCCAAAACACTTGAATTGGTGTCAAAAAATACATGTTCATTGTGTTGTGTTTAAAAGCTTTGACACCGGCACTCAGTTAACACAATAATTGCTCATAGTTTGATTCAAATGATGTGGGTGTTCAGATGTTATAAGACGTAAGCTTTTAGTCAGATTTGAAAATAGAATTCTCTCAGTATTTCATGGTTTAGAAGAATCAACCAAAACTGAATTTCTACAGGGCAGAGATAACAAAACAACCTGAAAGATGCCTGACTATCTGGTTCTTTTGCTGGCTAAATGAGCTTTTTCTTCTGCTGCTTGCTAACTTTGCCTGTCTGCTGTTTGGTGTTGTGTACAATGGGTTTACTTGCTCACAGGGAGAAGATGTGAAGATGAGCCATCAAGCTTATTTAATGCATGTTAAATCAGTCATACTTTTCTTAGTGCATTCTGAATCTGAGTTGCTCTGAGTTATGCTCATGCACGCTTGCTTGTGAAGGGCAGCTATTCCATGTCGCTAGTGACAGCTGGTGGGCCTCACAGACTAGCTACAGAGACTTTTTCTGAGATTTCGGACTCTAGAATATCCCGTACCCTTCTTCCTCCTCTTGAACTGTTGAATAATGCTGCTACACTCAGCTCAGACTGAATCTCCTACCCATTCAATTCACCTCAGGGATCGAGATCAGTCAACTTTTTCTCGTCCTATCCTATACTGGAGTCATGCTGCGGATTTAGCTTACTTCTGATCCAGCAGCAGCAGGCACGGCGGTCCTCGCTGTGTGATGGCTGCAGGAGGGGAGCTGGGCTGGCGGGGAAGGGGGATACCCCCGATGTGTGTGTGAGCTTGGCAATTGTTGTTGTGGTGATGGTGGCCGTAGTGGTGGTTGCCAGGGAGATTGTGGGCGCTTGTCTGACCTGTCCCCCTTGTGCTGTCACCAGCGTTATTGATGCACGCCCCTGCTCGGCATTGTGGGAGTGCGGGAGGGAGGGCGGACAGGACAACGGTTAATGAGTTCAGGAGGAACAGGGACTCTCCCAGCTCTCTCTCTGTCCTTTCTCTGTGACTCTCTCTCACTCCGTTTCCTCATCATCTCTCCCTCCCCCTCTCTGCCTACTCTCCCATTCATTTCTCATGGGTGTCTGTCTTGTGCGAGTGTGCATTAAGAACATGGGTCTCTCATGATCCATCATGGCAAAATGCACTTTCCCCCTCCTTTACACGCACACACACACAGCTAAACGGCAAACAGACAGTTCACTCACAAAAACACGTTTTCCCACACCTTTACTTGAACAGCATAACTGACTCATTCGCAACCACTCCTTCCCCTCTCACTTATACATACACAGACACACACACACTGCCCTGCTGTTATGCCTGAAGCTAGGAGAGCTAGCAAGATTAATAATGACCCCTGACTCCTCATAGACAGACCCAAATATACACAGCTTGGAGAGAGAGAAAAACGGAAGGTGAAGCCAAATGGTGTCTAAAAATACACAGTTTGGAGACAAAGAGAGAGAGAAAATGTATACAGTTTAGAAAGTGATAGAGATGAGAAAACAGAGTACAAGGCCACTCACAAAGCAGGAGGCCAAATATGCAAAATTGGGCAAGAGGACAAGAGACAAGAAAGAGTATGTCAACACCAAGCAGATGAAATTGAAAAGCACTTCTCTAAGCTGGCATTTTTGACACCTGAAAACTAAGCTTTTCAAAAATGTTGTCTAGAATGGACCTATCTGAAAACCCTGGGTGCACATTTGACTTGACTTGGTCTTGACAAGGAAAACTTGTAGAAAGTCCTGATGTAAGGGGCTGTGGGTCAGTTAGGTTAATGGTGCGACTTAGCATTGCATTTTCATAAAGGTAAGGGACTTGCAAGCAATAATGTAAAAACTGAAGCTGCAGAGATGGAGATGTCTTGACTTTTAGTTCTTAGCACTGGCCAACCTCCTAAAATGCTGGCTTCTAAAGCTCCCATAATGATTTATTTCTTTTTATTAAACCCTCCCCAGCAGGTAAATCTATCAAACTCATTGACCCCAGTTTGTAATGAAAGCTTTCCTTTAAATACTTGTAGTTTCCCTAATCAAGAGTACCCTGATGCAAGGGTGTCATTTTGCATATGGACAGTAGGGACATGTCTCTATCAATATTCTGGGAGTACAGAAATGTCCCTACAAATATTATAGGGGTAGGATGTTGTGGCCCTACCAATGTTGAGAGCAAACCTATGTCCTTACCCTGATGGCATCACAAGGATTATTTTTTCAAATTTTAGCAAGCTTCTCCAGAAGCTATACAACTGTTTTTGTAAGTTGAATATAGCTACTCTTGAAGAGTAAGCCTGCATTCAGACTGAGTTTCAAAGGTGTGAAAAACACAGGCCTCTCCCTCCATTTCTATGGTGGATTGCGTTCACACGATAACGACATGCTATGTGTTATTGTTAGTTATGTACAGGATCTTAAACAATATTATTTTTCTACACTGGTGGTAGAAATTGGTGCTAACGTAGAGTAGGCTACATTAGCAGCATGGCTAACCAAAACAAACTGGTGGGCTGGTAGCATGAATGAGGCCATACACTTAGACTCATCACAATGTGGTCATATCATACACACCCACAACACTTCTCCTGCAACCCTTCACCCCCTCGTCCAATGCAGCCCCTTGCATTAAAACACAGCAGTGAGTCACATTTTATCACACTCAGCCTGAACACCTGCTAAGCCCCATTCTCACATACCTATGAGTGTGTCAGTTTGCCTTTCTCCCTTTATCCTGTCTTTGTGCTAAGCTAAGATAACTGGATGCTATACTAAGGGACAGATTGGTATTGATCTCCCCAAAAAATTCTGTTCAGGTTATGGGAAGATCGTAGTCATGGTTAAAAGAAAATGTAAAAAGAACCACAGTGACCAGAGAGTTGATTGATTGGTTGTTTGAAAAACCAGTTTTTCCAAAGTCACATGCTTTGCTTACCCTAACTTGTTTTTGACTCTATAACATCAAGCTACCTCTGTTTTTGTTGCTGACAGTCAAGAGTCTGACCCAACTTCATTCAGCTAAATGTACACACAAAACACTAGCTTCAGCGCCATTCATTTTCACATGTAAACATTGTTTTTGTCATAAAGTTAGTGTGAGCGTGGCCTAAAGCGAGTGACGCCAAGAGTATTTACTTTGACAGTGTGTTACTACCTCTCACTTTCTTATGCTCCGATGCTGTCATAGTTGTTTCAGCTGTCTTCTCTTGTCTCTCTCTCTTTTTCTCTTGGTCTCACACACATGCATGCACATTTTTGTGCTTGGACACACAAAAACACTCACTGATACCAGCAGTAATATGCAGACAAATAACACAAACAGGGATGCGCGCACACACACACACACACACCACCATGGATTAATGTGTTTGGCTCAACTCTTTCATTTATTACTGTCAGAGGCCTTTTGTGATGAGGGCATTTTTCAGGTTGCTAACCATTATTCCCTCTAGGCCCTGGCCTCCTCAAAGGTCGCTGTGAGTGTGTGAGCATATGAGTGTGTACGTGAATGTGAGACTTACCCAGCCTTATGGTTATGGCCTAACCAAGTAGTTAATTTTTTTTTCTGTTCTTTAGGGGATTCACATAGCCATTTGTGACTGTACTTAATGTGCCCTCCCCATTTGTCAACACAAGCCTAAGCAGCTCGAAGCCTGTTTGCTTTGCTGAAAGGTTTCTTTTTTTGTGTTTTTGCACCTCTATCATACCTTGAAATATTGCTGAGTGTGCTGTATCCATCAAAATACCAAACGTATCTGAGAATGGGATGGAAAGACATGTAGACAGTAGAGAAGAAAGAGACCCAAGTGAACCCTAATGCTGATGTTCTCTCTCTTTCCTCTCAGTGTATTAAAATGTGTTTACATAGTACTCAAATAAACTACAGCACAAATTACATGCTCACAGAGATATAAACTCAAACCAGATGGCTTTGCTTCTGCTCTGACTTAGGGTTGGTGTTTGGTTCTGTTTTCATGGATATGACTCTGCCATTGCCTCAAGAATAAATTAATTCATTGGTTTATACTTAGTTTTATTAGTTTTTTTTGTCTTGAGGGTAGACCATGCAAAAGAAAGGAGTCATCACTTGCAGCCTGCCTGTTCAGATGTATCACAGACATGTGTGACTGGATCACAGGTAGTAAAGCATTAAGTAGAAGGGTGAATGAACTCAAAGTGCACCGAGGATGCATTTGAATCCAATTTACTCATGGCCTCATAACAGTGCCTGTATAGTCTAGTTATGTAGTCAACAAAAAGTAACAGGTTGAACCAGCAATAGACTGAAGATACTATGGAAGTACAGTCATAGGTGAACGGTGATGCCTGTGCTTAGCTTAATAGAATGAATGAACCTAAGAATGTGTATTAAACTGAAAAGAATGATTTTAATCAGCAGTGATTATGATGTTGACCCATAACACATGCTATGCAGTGTTGTGTACATTTTGACTCTGACTGAGGTGAAAGTAATGTGCATGTACAGCAAGATCTAACATAAAAATATGTCACCTCCTTCCACAAAAATTTCAACAAAATAATACAAAAATAAGTGATTTGAAACAATTTTGCAGCAGCACGATCAGAGCATTTTTATAAGTCTTTAAGTTCAAACTTTGCAGCAGTTTGTAATGATAAAGTTTATTTGCCGGATAATGCTGGGACACAAACATCACCATAGTATTATGGTGGCAGCAAGTTTGTGGGCTGTTCTGAGTTCTGTCGGTGAATTAAGGAGCTTCCTCCAACTTTCTTTTCTCACCATGGCTACTCATGCTAAAGCTAATGGTAAACTAGCAACTTGGTCTATGTACTGTTGGTGTAATAAAACAGCCTACTTCTTTACAGCTAGAAATCAATAAAATAGTAACAAAGGCCAGCATTTGTAAAAGTACAATGATTGGCAAGGTGAACAGTATTTTTTTATGCCTGTTCTGTAAATTTTCACTAGCGCAAAATATTATGATTAGCCATGCTAACATACATCTTGATGGATTTTTAATCATCTTCTTTCTTTTCGCTTATCAAGACTGATATGTCCTTTTCTGTGGCATTACTTTGTTGCTGCTTTTTCCATGTAACCTAACATTAGGATCTGACAGACTGTACTTGCATCAAAATGCAGTTAATGGCTTTTACAATGAACTAATGCATAACATTTTCTTGTGGGACCTTTCAAGCTCTCCTGGGGGGCCCCGTGGTGCCCATGGGAGCCCCAAGCAGACACTTAGTTTGCTTAAGCCTTGGGCCAGCCCTGCTAATGACAAGGTCCCTTTTGCTCTGAAAATGCCAAATAACCTAAATGCTTTTATCTAATGGTTGAGTCTTAATATATTCATAATCTGTGACACATTCCAGTGCTAGATAAACACCACAACCCATCTAATTTAGAGCTACCCACAATAGGCCTTTTTCAATGAGGAGATCTTGACATGTCTAAATAAGAAAAACACAGGTGTTAGAAATAAAATTAATGATGCTGAATTCCATTTAGCTGCTTCAGGGTCATGGTATTGAGCAAGCCGGCCTTGGCTTATCTAGACACTTGAATAGAACATGAGTCATTGCTACTGTTATTAGTAACACCCGTGCTTGTTGTACTATAATAGGTCAAAATGCCTGTTGTGGAAAAAGGCTTGTTTAGATATGTGTGTGCAAGATTCTTGATTTGAACAAGATAATATATAAATTTTTAGGACAGCTTTGTCTGAAATGAACTGACAAGTGACCGTA